CAGATCCTTTCTTCTTTACAGGCAAAAGATTCTGAACCCTCTGCTGAACAGGACAGCAAGGTGGCATCTGCAGAGCTGCTTGGTGGTGGCATGGCACCGGCTCTCTAACCACAACCAGGTGGCCATGCCCAGAGCCATCACCACGCTGGAACTGCTGGCCGAGAGCTGCCTCTCTTTGTGCAGAGGCCAGCAGGGACACTTGCCCCCAGTGCAGCAGGTGTAACTCACACCCGGTAACTTCTCCACCTACCTGAGGCTTCTTGTCCCTTTCCTCCGGAGAAGGTTCTGTTTCTCTGTACACCACAGCTTTGGTTACCAGCATGTCAGGATGCTGTAGTTTTGCCTCTTTGATTGCTAAAGCCAGTGCCTAAAAACCAAAAGGATGAAAGCGTTTATCGTCACCTCCCCGAAATGCGGTGTGTTTCTCTCAGCCCAGCAGAGCCAGCAACAGAAAGCAGCTGGAGCCGAGTGGGATTCCGGGAGGCCACGGGCACCGAGGTTCAAAGCTGAACCCACGGTAGCCTAGCAGACGAGGCAGGAGCACCACTGCTCGGGGATCCGTACGCCACTGGGATGCCTCGTGCACTGCCTTTCCCTTGCTGGTTTCTGTCTGTAGAGACGCACTATGTCCCAGGCTCCCTACTGAAACCCAAACAAAGGAACAGCAACAATTCTCTATGCAGCAAAACCCTAGAAAGATCTACAATAATAATCTAATTAAATTTATTATCATAGTTTTTTTAAAATCTAAAAATTATTTTAGAGCCTTTTAATACTTTAGCTCGTCAACTTTTCTTTTTAAGCAACAAATGCCAAAGGGTTAGGCCATGGGAGGATGACCCCACGGCCCTACAGAGTTGTCTTAGTCTCTGTTATTTCATCACAGAAGTGTGCCGCTTTTTGTTCTTCTCTCACGGAGGCAGATGCAAAGCACCACCACTTGGAGAGAGCCAGACTGTAGAAAAGCGTGCAGGAAGAGAGGAAGAACCTGGGTCACTGGAGCATTTCATCAGAAAAAGGGCAACTGCAAACGCGTGTTAAGAAAACAAAAAGGTGACCCTGTCATGGGGCTCTGTGCTGGGATGTGGCTTCTACTGCTGCTGGGCTGGGGCTTCAGGTGGGTGCCACTGTGCCCTGGGGGAACATGCACTGCCAGACCAAGCTGGTAGGTTTGGGGCCCACGGGGTCGGTTTTTGGAAAGAAGGAGTAAAGAGCTATGAGCCCGAATCAGAAACGTGCAGCGCTGCACCTGGGGGCAGCCAGAGCCAGGCAAAGCCTGCTCCTACCTGGTCCTGGTCCACATCTTCGTCTCCTGTGATAATGATGCGCTTCTCTATCCGGGTCTCTGAGAACCCTCCTTTCACAGTCTGCACAACGGGAAGAAAAGCACTCACCCACGGCACCCGACAAGCCAGTGCCAGGCAGTCACAGCTCTGCCCACAGGAGGACGCCAGCATCACCTTAGGAACTCCCCCCGTCATCCAGCACATCTCCCACCACCCTTGACTCAGTGCATGGTTAGAACTGGCCGGACACAGCTGGCCAGAGGCGGGGAGGAGAGGAAAAGGGACAAGTGGCAGGTACCGAGCCCCCCTCCCTCCTGCTCAGGTCCCTCACGGAGCTTCTGCTTTCATTGACGTGCACTTAATTTGTGAATGAAATGGCAACAGGTGAGGTCCTCTTGATGCAGCCTCGTCTCCTTTGTCTCCTAACATCACTCCCCCTTGCCTGCACTGCTCCAGCTCTAATAAACCAAACACACCCCACGCAAACGCAGCTCCCACAGCTGACACGAGGCGAGACGCTCCTGCATGGGTGCTGTGGGACCCCCGGGCCAGGGGGCGCTGGCGTCTGGCTCCAGGTGCGCCTGGGAACACTCGCCCCAGTCGCCAGGCTGGCACTGGCACGCGTGCTGCTGGCAGCCTAATTCAGAGTCCATTCCACCCTGTGGCTGGCACCAGGCGGCCAGTGACACCACACGCCACTCTCGCTCCTCACCCCAAAGCCTCCCTGCCCTCCCAGTCTGCCAAGGAGCAGAGCAGGCACAGCATGCATTCACAGTCCCCATGGATGGTACGCAGGTGACGAACACCTGATGCCCGGCTGTCCTGGCCGCAGTCACCCCTGGCTGGGTGGGACGGCCAGCACAGCAGGGCTGAACTGGGCCCGGGGGCATGGGCTGCTGTGCTGGCTCACCCTCCCCCCGAGGACAGCAAACACCTTTTCAGCTTGTAAGGAGGAGAGGGGCATTTTCTGCTGGACCAACCACAGCACAAACCCACCCATTCTCAAATTCCAGTGGCTTGCATCAGGAACCGCCCAGCTGCCCCCGCCGGAGCCGCTCTTACCTTGGTAACGTGGGTAGTGGTGGAAGTGGAGAGGGTTTCTGCAGTGGCACTGAATATGCTGGTGAGCACGTCCTTCCCCGCGGAGCCGCTGGTGATCTGCAGGACAGAGAGTAGCGGCGTCAGCGGGGACTCCATCACCAGCTCCTGGGGAGCTGGGACCTTCCCACTGGGATGCACCTACTCAGCCAAGCACAGGAGGGGAGAGAGTGGCAAGGAAAAAGAGACTCTGCACTGTGCTTCCAACTGGACCTTGGGTTTTTTGGGGGGTCAGGGAGAGGTTTCTGCAGCTACCCCCAGACCAGAGCCGCAGGGAAGGGCCCCTGCAGCAGGGAGATGATCTCATGGCTCTTCCTCATCCATCCTCAGGGCTACCCTAAGTGCAGAGCCCTCAGGCTACCTCGCTCTGCCCATCCCACTTGTGTGGGGAGGGCTGCGCTGGTGCCCCCACCGCATGGTCCTGGGCACGTCCTCCCCGCAGCACAGTGATGAGCCTGGGGCAGGGTGAGGTGATGGCCAGGCTTGACTCAATCGGGATGAGGCAGTCGAGTAGGAAAATGCTTTACGCAGGAAGGCCTGCTGCTGGGCAGGGCTGCCGATGGCCATCACCTCTGCTGGGAGCCAGCAGACTCTGACTGTGGCCTTGGGTGGCCAGGCAGGACACCCAGGGCTAAAAGTATCTCAGCCTGCTACAAGGCTCACCAGGGACTGGGCTATTTTTTAGGAATTACCCCCCTCCGGTGGATGCTCAAGGGGCATCTTTCACAGGGGAAAGGCTACGGGCAGGGGCTCCCCTGCCATCTCACCCCCCAACCTTCTGAGCATCCTTCTGCTCTTTGCAGAACCAACACACCAGACAAGGGGGCCAATGCTGGGAGGACAGAAGGG